ATCTCTTTGTTGAAATTCCATCTCTCCATCTCAGGTGAGTCTCTTGCCTTTCAATATGCAAATATATTCACAAATCAATTTAACCTTATGTACAGTGATAAATGTAAATCTACTTCTGTATGCACTAGATCTCAATATTGAGAGGAAACAGCCTTAAAGTAACTCCTTCTGCACCTCATACAATTCACAGCAACTCAAAAAAAAAAAAAAAGATTCCAGGGATGAGGTTTATGCTTGTAATATCAATTACTCAAAATGCCATTGCAGAAGAATTTAAGACCATGTCCCAAGATTATATATATATATCTTTGACAGAGTCAGAGACAGAGAGACAGAGAGTGATGGGCCTCTGTAGAAGAGTGCCCATAGGTCTGATGCCAGTCTTCTAACAACAAAAATTGAGCAGCCAAAAACTTGCCATTATAACATAATTTGTTTCTGGATTCAAAGTTTTTTGTCACTCAAACAGTAGGCCCACTATGCTTCTCTTGGATGCAGTGTTTGAAACTGTGTTCAGTTTTTCTGTTAGGTGATAACTGTCCAATCCACAAACAGCCAGCCAACAGGGGTTGGGCTTACACAGTCTTATGTTCTGTTCCCTTTCTGTTTAGATTCTGTTATTATTTGACTCTATTTCTAGACTTCTTTTTTCTGTATCAGGAGCCCCAGGTTTTGGGGCTGTGCAGATGCTAAAAAAAAAGACAGGGAGAACACATCACCCTTAAAGCCTGGAAATGGAAAGTGGCATTTGCATCCTGAGACTGGGTAGGGAGGCTAGTTGAAGGCTACAAGACTGGCAATCCAGGGACCTGGCAATGATAGGAACTGGAAGTGATGGATAGGGAGTCCTTATGGTCCTCTTCAGAGCCTGGTGGCCAGGAGGTCTCTCTGTGTCAGTTCAACTTTCAGTCCTCTCTAACTAGTTTAGTAAAGCTTAGAGAAGCAGTTGAGCCTCTGGGCATTCAATTCCATCATTCTGTGGGGTTTTCAGCCCCTTCTTGAAACCCTATATGGGCAACAAGGTGCCACTATCACAGAATGTCTCTATACAAATTGTTTGATGAAGATGGGAATAATCATCAGGAAAGAATCTTAACTCCATGTGTTGTGTTCCTCTATGTGAGAAGCTATGGTTTTTAGGGATTCCAGTTTTTTTTGTTTTTTTTTTTTACTTTGGCCTGCCATCACTATATTCAAAACATTACAAAGCTCTTGACATATCATATTTCATGCATTTGATTCAAGTGGGTTATGAACTCCCATTTTTACCCTGTATACAGATTGCAGAATCACATCGGTTACACATCCATCCATAGTGCCATACTAGTGTCTGTTGTATTCTGATGCCTTTTTCCAAGTTTGTTTGTTTTTTATCACCAGAAATCAACCCAGTGCTATTTAT